CATTGAGACCGAAATGCTCCTTCACCACGCGCAGCACCAGCGCCATCAAGTCCTCGCCTTCCCGCGCATATTCCTGCATGCGCAACAGGAAACTGTAGTAGAGCGCGGCATCGGTGGGCGAAGAACGGTGCTCATTGACATATTCATCATATGCGACGAAGAGGGAGTCAATAGATCCATCATGGGAGTCTTGCGCGCGAAGGACGATATTGTGAATGGCATCGGAGACTACTGCGGTATTAGTATATTCCTCGATCAATTTTTTCTCTGTTTATTTACCTTCATCCCGACAGAGATCATCAGCTGTTATAGCCCTCGCATCATCTCCATTCAGCCTCATGGAGGATAGCATTCGTGCACGCGACTCGTTCGTCTCCGGCGCGTTCGCGACAACATGGAAGGGACCGGCGGCTGTAATGAGTCGAACAGCAACCAAAAAGCAGCGGCATGCGAGAAAGTAGTCGTAGGTTCGTCGCGCAACAATTAAGCATTACAAATCCAAAGTAAGAAGAGAGGAGCGATGAAGGGCTGTTGGTGCGCCCGCGTTTTGGCGTTGCAGCGACGCGCTTTGTTGTTGGAGTGGTTGGCCGCCCGCGTTCGTGGATGCGAGGGTGCCAAGGCTTTAGTTGGGTGGGCCCTGTTCGTTGACCTCATCGAGGTGGAAGGGCGTGGTTCGCCGTGGCCAAAGAACTTCACATATCTTGGAGGAGCTACTTCTTAATAACACTGCTACTCATACTACTCGAGAGGGAGACACAGTGCTGCTCGAGATGCCCGGTCGAACCCGTCCCATCGATAAACTCGCCACAGCGGCTGCAAAATGCTCGACAGAGGTATGATACGCCCCTCAGTGACAGTCAGGTTCAACTCGATGCTGACATGCTCCAGAGTGCAGTATACGGCAAATGCATCTTCGCAGACTATAACAACGTACGGAAAGACATGTGCGTCAATGAGTTCATGAAGCTGAAGGAGTGCTATCTGGTAATATTCCTCATAACATTAAAAGGCATCACAACTAACCACACCCACAGAAGGCATATAAGCAGCGGTGACGGCACTTGTAGCGACACATCCTCATCCTAGACTCATACAGCATACGAAGGCGTTCGGTGTAAATATAGAAATTTTGATTTCATTTCATCAACGATTCATGCAGCGCCACTATACTATCAAACCACACGATAACGCTATTATAGCTTGATCAACCGCAACATGAAAGTCGCCTTGTGGAGCTCTTGCTCCTCCTCTGCAATAACCTTCTCGTTACTGTTCTCTGGGATCTTGCCCTCAACTTCAGTGATGACGTGCTTGTCCACAGGTCTTCGCAAAGCCTTCTCAAACAATGGGCCCTGGTTCTCAAACGCCTGCTCCAGTCCTACACTTTCCGGATCGCTCAGCACTCGGTACTCCATGCCTACGTCGTCGGTTGGCACCAGTCCGGCCTTCTTGCGCAAATCTTGTACACGGCGGATGACCTCGCGCGCAAGACCTTCTTGCTCGAGCTCTGGATATGAGGCGACGTCGAGGAGAATGAGGACATCGTTGTCTGTGTTGAACTCCTGGTCCTTGTTGCTAGAGTCCTTTGCGAGACCGCGCTTGACCATCAGATCCTCAGCCTCAAGCTTGATGCCGTCCACGACAATCTCGCCGTTCTTCAGGTAGTCCTTGATATCTTGGCTCTTGAGGTTTGGTAGCGCCTTCTTGACCTTGATGGCGTCCTTTTTCAGCTTCTTGCCAAGCACGGAGAAGTCGGCCGTGGCTGAGTACTGGACATTGTACTTCTCCTCATCGCTAGACAGCACAATATCGCGGACGTTCAGCTCCTCCAGGATGTAGTTCTCCAATGATTTAATGTCGTCAAGGTATTGTTGTTCTGGGTGGATGACCACCAGCGTCTTCAGTGGAATCTTCAAGCCCTTGTTGGCACGGTCACGGCAGATACGTCCAAGCTCAATGACTGACTGCATGCGCTTGACTTGGCGTTCGACACCCTCGTCAAACAGCTCCTCTCGTACTTCTGGGAAAGGAAGGAAGTGGATGCTTCGGTTGTCTTCCGCGTGCAGTTCTTTGGGGATGTGAGGTAGTAATCGCAGGTAGATGTTGTCTGTGATGAATGGTGTGAAGGGCGCGAGACCGCGGCAGAGTGTGTAGAGAACTTCGAAGAGTGTGTTGAGGGCGTGTTTGGTGTCCTCCAGACCGTGCTCACCCTTTAACCGGCGACGGTTGAAGCGAATGTACCAGTTTGTTGTGTTGTCAATGAGCTCCAATAACCGCGGAACCACGGTGTACAGCCTGTACGCAGCCATCTCCTCGTTCACAAACTTTAGCAGCGACTGGGTGGACGCGAGGATCCATCGGTCGAGCACGTTCTTGTTGGTCTTTCCAGCTGCCGGGTCGAATACGAAGTCCAGACTCTCGACCTTCTTCAGCAGCGATACTTGTTGGTCGAAGAACTGGTAGCTGTTCCAGAGAGGTAGAAGAACCTTGGAAACGATCTCCTTGACACCTGCTTCCTTGAATCGAAGTGTCTCGGCACGAACGACAGGAGAGTTGATGAGGTATAACCGCAGCGCATCAGAACCGTAGTTGGTCATGATCAAGTTGGGGTCGGGATAGTTCTTGAGACGTTTTGACATCTTTTTGCCATCTTCCGCAAGTACGATACCGTTGACAACGCAGTTCTTGAAAGGAAGCTTGCCGAAGAGGTGTGTTCCAAGGACCGTGAGTGTGTAGAACCAACCACGAGTTTGATCGAGACCTTCGGCAATGAAGTCACCAGGGAACGACTTCTCGAATTGCTCCACGTTCTCGAATGGGTAATGCGCGCTGGCATAGGGCATGGAACCAGACTCAAACCAGCAGTCAAAGACCTCGTCTGTTCTCCGAAGCACGCCCTTGCCGTCTTTGCTGGGAATGGTGATGTGGTCGATCTTATCCCGGTGAATGTCGGTTAGCTCGCCCTCGTACCCGCTGAGCTTCTTCAGCTCCTCCACGCTGCCAATGCAGACCACCTCTTTGCCGTCATCGCTGACCCATATCGGAAGTGGCGTACCCCAGAAACGGTTTCGCGAAACAGCCCAGTCGGGTGAGTTGGTGATCCAGTTGGCGAAGCGCTTCTCCTTGACGAAGGAAGGAACCCAGTGCGAACCAGCAATGTTCTCCAGCATTTGCGGCACAATGTCCTGAATCTTGATGAACCACGAGGGGACCGTTCGGTAGATCAAGGGGGTGTCAGACCGCCAGCAGAAGGGATAGCTATGGAGAAGTTGTGAGTCTACGATCAAGCGACCGGTTCCTTTCAGATGCTTGATGATGCCCTTGTCTGCTGCCTTGACGTGTTGGCCCTCGAAGTCGCGGACGACCGAGGTGAAGCGACCCTGATCATCGACTGGGTTGGGTGGCGGTCGGGTGTCAGAGATGACACCGTGGGCCTTTGCAACGCGGTAATCGTCCTCTCCGTATGCGGGGGCCTGGTGAACGATACCCACACCACTGTCTGCTGTGACGTAGGTGTCGTTCGCCACCTTGAAGCCGTAGTCCTTGAACTCGTCGTAAAGGTAGTCGAACAGGGGCTCGTACTTCCAGCCCAGCATGTCCTTACCCTTCAGCTTCTCCACGACCTTGAACTTGGCCTTCTTCGGGTCCTTGTATAGTGTGCGTAGCAGGGCTTCGAGCAGGATGTAGTGTTTGCCGGATGCTTCGTCGAGAATCTTGACGTATTCGAAATCGGGATGCGCGCAGAGACCGGTGTTGGATGGGAGTGTCCATGGCGTGGTGGTCCTGTTCGGGCTGGTCAGCGCATGCCAGTAGAAGCAACCTAGAGTGAGTAGCTTACCATGCCAACAAGCACGTGTTCGGATCTTCGAGTAGCGGGAATGTGACGACTACTGCTGGGTCCTGAACGTCCTTGTAGTTCTGCGAGGCCTCGAAGTTGCTGAGAGGCGTCGCCAACGCTGTACTGTAGGGCATGACCTTGTAACCCCGGTATACGGCGCCCTTGTCGAAAAGACGCTTGAAGACCCACCACTCGGACTCCATGAAGCTGGTGTCCATGGTCTTGTAGTCGTTGTCGAAGTCGATCCAGCGACCTAAACGGTCGATAGTCGCCCTCCACTCGGTCGCATATCGCATGACAATCGCGCGGCACTTCTTGTTATATTCGGCGATACCGATTTCGCGTACAGCGTCGCGTCCCGACATACCCAATTCCTTGTCAATCTCGTACTCAATGGGCACACCATGAGTATCCCAGCCGAACCGTCGCTCGACATAGCGGCCCTTCATGGACCAGTAGCGCGGGATAATGTCTTTGATGGTCGAGGCCAGGAGGTGACCATAATGCGGCATTCCTGTCGCGAAAGGCGGTCCATCGTAGAAAGTGTATGGTTGCTTTCCTTTCGACTATGGCGAGTTAGCAAGTGTCAACCACACGTGCCTGGGTTCACTAGGCTGTAGCATAGTCACGTACTAGCTCGACTTGTCTCTGAAAGGCGTCAATCTCCTTCCAGCGCGCGAGGATGCGCTCCTCCTCGCTCGGAAAGTTCATAGACATGGTGGCGGCGTGAGTATGCTGAGAGAGAGCCGTGGCGGGGAATCTTTTTCTAGAGTCTAGAGTTGACTCCTCCGATCCCCGCCATTAGCGTGACTCAGCCGCTTATCGATAGCACCCCGCCATACCTAGGCATCGACGACGGACGAGTCCTGCAACTAACAACATCTCCTGGTCATAGCGAAGTTTCCTCACTACACAGATATCTTGTCATGAAGTGAACCGTATCAACTATTCTTAACCGCCAGTAGAGCTGAATCGTAACTGAACACGTTAGAGCATACTCGCCATGAAACGTCGCATACCTACATCTTCGTTGCGGCTCTGCGGCAACTGAGAAGGTTGAAACATTGACAGGTCTAGCTAATTACGATGAAGATTCCAAGCCAATGTGGCAGCCATCACCTCTCACTTTTGTCTGGGCATTCTTATCACATACTTCCGATCGATGATGCGTTTTCTCGTATTCCTTAGCACTTCATTGTTTGCGATCTTCGTAGCCTCAAGGGACTCGCCAAACAATCCATCTACCCAGCCTCTGCGAGGCAGCGACATCATCATCAGTCCCAGAGATGCCGACATTGACAGGACATGTAGACGCTTACGTACGTTGACAAAGCTCAACAAGATCGCACATAACGAGACCCTCATGGACTCGATGATCATGCGCGACAAGTTCGCTCAACAACGCATCGACTGGATCAAAAACAACAGTGACGATATCACTGCCAAACTCGAGGCGCTGGCATCCAACTCCACGCTGACAGCGGAATGCGACACGATCAATGCACAGCACGACACAGCTCGCGAATGCAAGGCATTACAGACATTGGAAAGACTGGTAAATTCGACGAACGGGCATACTGATTTCAACGGACGACCTGCTGCGGACTTTCTCAGCGATGAGCAGAAACAGAAGTCACAACAAAAGTTCGAGAAAGCAGAACTGAAGCTGCAGCAACTCAGGAGTAATGTCACATTGCTAGGTCTCTGTAACAACGATTTTATGTCTCAGCAGGGTGGCGTCATCGGAAATCGTAAGCATTCATTCTGCGACGCTAAATGGAGTGTGCTGACAAATGTGCAGAAGTGGTGGACAACAGCGGCGCCATCAGCATGACGAGAAGTGTTGCAAGCAGTCATATGCGCCAACTGGGAGATGCTTCATCGTTGATGGCTTTGACGATTCTAATGACAGTGTTGATGCTGTAGTACTCCTTCCTTTATGTTGGAAACAATAGCCGGATAAATCGCGTCACTTCGTCGCTTTTTGCGGTTACATGCATAAAGGATTGGGGCACATGGCGGGGTGCTCGACGACGTGCATTTTGTGGCGTAGTTGTAAAGATGTGCGAACTCAATTCCAAGTCATGGTCGTCGCATCAATATTTACCATGGTCAATGCGATTCTTTGTGGCACAGCTTTGCCTGCATAACGGAAACGACAGAGCGTCGGTGTAGAACACATCGAGATGACAATGACGAGCAATACCGATCGCGCATCTATGCATGAGAATCCCGTGCGCTGTACGCCACAAGGGATACCCTTATTTGTGCCAACGACAACTACACCGCGTCTTCGATCAAAACGCCCCGTTTCTGTGCTGGTCACCCCATACACCCACTCTTCCGGGCGTACTCCCGTCTTCTAAGTTGCCAGTGGCATGGCGACATTCGACTTCGGCGACCCACCCCCGGGCCTTAACCTCAGCGAGTCACGGACAGTCGGAAACAGCGTTGTCGCAATCATCTTGTTTGTTCTTTCGGGTGTATTTGTCGCTCTACGGCTATTTACTCGTATGAAGTTGAAACAGGAACAGCTGGGTTGTGATGACTACTTGATCATTGCTGGACTGGCATTGAACGCGGGGAATCTTGCGTGTTGTATCGTTGGTTGGTGGCCGATTGCTGGGCAAAGTCTTGTCATGATTTTACTAACTCAAAGAAAAGGTGGTTTCTACGGCCTGGGTCGACACATCTGGTCGCTAGGCCCAGATCAAATGCGACATATAACCATCGTGCGCTTACGTGCCTTGGTATACTCTTGCTGGACTAACATTTAACAGATCACCTTCGCATACGTTTTTGTCTACGCATGGAGTGTCTGTGTCATCAAACTCTCCATCCTCGCTTTGTACAGGCGCATTTTTGGTATAAATTGGCTTGGTTGGTTCTGTGTTGGCATGACGGCTGCCTACCTGATCACAAACCATGTCGTTCTGCCATTGTACACTCGACCCTTAAACTACTACTGGGACCAATGGAATGGGGCTCAAGGAGATATTCTCGTCGATGAGGCGAAGGTGCGTCCTAGGTGCGTTCACTCATGGTGAAGTTATTTGCTGATACATCCGCAGTTCTACCTTGGCGCCGGGATCTTCAATCTATTCGGCGATGTGTGTATACTTTGTATACCCATATCCAACGTTGTCAAATTGCAGATGAAAAGAATGGAGAAGGTGGCGATCTGCTTTATCTTCCTACTCGGCAGCTTGTAAGCACTCCGAAGTGAGAAAATCGTATTGTCTCTAATGGTCGTAGTGTGTGCTTCGCCTCGCTTTATCGTATCATCACCATCGTCCGATTGATGGCCTCGCTAGACGTCAGCTGGAAGAAGAGCGATGTCTTTATATGGTCGTCCGTCGAGCCTTCGATTGGCATCATCTCCGGATGTCTTCCAACGCTTCACCCGCTTTTGATTCGTATAACACGCTGTTTGGCGAGCGCACTCGGTGCTACACCGAGCCATACTCCGGTGCAGGAAGGCCCTGAAAGTCGCGAGACTGGGTCGAGGACGATTAACGCTTGGACCGAACGCTGGGGTAGGACTCGGCCAGCCGAAGAGGATTTGTGCTTGACTACAACAACAGTGTGCGGATCTGCGAATGAAAATGATGGGATCACCTGGCAAGACTTCATCCTGGGACGCCATGAAGAGAGGAGGATTACTATGACACATGAGTTTGCGATAGACGAGAGCATACGGAGTCGCGATAGCTCAAGATAAGACCGAGCTTTGCGCGTTGGTATGAGATAGGCCCTGAAGTATGGCAGAAAAGCACCCGTGGCAGCGGAAGCGACACATAACTGTTCGAGAAATTGAGGCGCTTGTAGATGGGGTACACCTGGGCAGGCAAGGACGCTGATAGTGACGTTTTAGAAAGGCGCGCCGGTGTAGACACGCGACACGAAGGCTGCGAAGCATTTCGCATCTAACGGCGATCATCCGAAGCTTCTGGGATGGTCTTGACGTCTGAAGTTGTGAATTTCGGAAGTCCGTCGCACCTATCGGGTGCATGCAAGCTAGCGCGGAAGGGCCTCCAGGTCACATGTCTGCCCCAGGGCTCGGCGCGACCGCCGAAACCCCGCAATACTACTTCGTCTCTTCTTCCTCCACTGAACTAACATCTGCGCAACCGCGATTTATCCGTCGAATATGTACAATGACTGTGAGGCGTCCGGACATAAGCCCTCAATCTGTTTCCTAGCCTGTTTGTGACACGACGTTCAAGACCTGAGGTCGTGATGTCGGATTCTTGGCCATATCTTGGCCATACCACCCGAGAAGGAACTCTAATAGTAGATCTACGACTCATTGTCCCATTGACATTGCGTTCGGCCCGGATGTTACGATTGCAAGAGAATTGAGAAGATCGAGGTGGATCATTCACTTCTACAATCATTGAAGACTATCGGGATATGGTGCCGGTCTCCGCATTTCGCACCCCGCATCTTGCTGGATGTGGCTTGTCAAGTCTACCGTGCTTTTTGCACGGAGTATAAAGAGTGCTTGTCGCTAAAAACCTGTGATGATCGGTTGCCAAGTCTTTCTTCCCCGTCGATATGTTTCCTACATCGTTGGTATTGCTTGTCTCACACTTCGCGCTGACTGGATTTGCCGCTGCGTCTTCTGGATTTGAAAAGAGGTGTCTCGAATTCAAGCCCGAGAGGTACATCAAAGGCGCAACCCGCAATGTTCTCCAACATGTCCTCGTCTCAGTACACCTTTGTCGTATGGCATTAGAGATCAAGACGACCAGAACATCGAAGATCTCTTTCGAAGCGTGGTTTCCAGAGGACTGGTCTGGTCGATTTCTGGCAACGGGAAACGGAGGCATTGATGGCTGTAAGTGATGAATGGGTGGAAGATAGCACAACTACTATACCGGGTGCTGACAGCGATAACAGGCATCAAGTATGAGGATATCGCATATGGAGCGTCGAATGGCTTCGCTAGCGTTGGTGCAAACAACGGCCACAACGGTACTACAGGAGTCGCCTACCTCAACAACCCCGAAATGGTAGTTGATTTTGCCTGGCGATCGTAAGCATATCCCTAACACTCATGACGTACATGCTCACTGGCCATACAGTCTTCATAACAGTGTTGAAGCGGGCAAAGCCTTGACCAAGGAGTTTTATGGAAAGTGCCATACCAAATCTTATTACTTGGGTTGTTCCCTCGGTGGACGCCAAGGCATCAAGAGTGCAGAGAAATTCCCGAATGACTTCGATGGCATCGTTGCCGGCGCTCCAGGCGTCGATTTCAACAACCTGATCTCCTGGCGTGCGCACTTTTACACCATCACCGGCCCCGTCAAAGGCGCAGACTTCATCCCGAAGACTGCGTGGCAGACATGGATCCACGATGAGGTGCTACGCCAATGCGATACCATCGACAAAGCCAAGGACGGCATCATCGAAGATCCAACCTTATGCAAGTTCGATCCCACAACCTTACTTTGTGATCGCAACACCACAAACACGACCAACTGCCTAAACAACAACCAAGTCCAGCAGCTTCAAAAAATCTTCAGCGACTACCGCTTCCCAAACGGCGAACTAATCTACCCCGCCATGCAAACCGGTAGCGAAATTAACGCCGTTGACAAACTCTACGCCGGCGCCCCATTCGCCTACTCAGACGACTGGTTCAAATATGTCGTCTACAACGACCCAACGTGGAACGCATCGGAATACGGGTACGACGACGCGCAAGCAGCCCAGGACCTCAACCCGGGCGATATTCGCACCTACCCTTCTTCTTTGCCCGGCTTCAAGCAGAATGGCGGGAAGCTGCTCATGTACCACGGCCAGCAGGATAACCAGATTACGTCCTTCAATACCAACCGGTTTTATGAGCACCTTCGCGGTGACAACACGTACGTGGAGATGGATGAATGGACGCGTTTCTTCCGTATCTCGGGCATGTTCCATTGCAGCACGGGTCCTGGGGCGTGGGTGTTGGGTCAGGGTGGGAATGCGGCACAGGCTGGTATCCCATTTGATGCGCAGCATAATGTGCTTGCGGCGATAGTGGATTGGGTGGAGAAGGGTATTGCGCCGGAGTTTATTGAAGGCACGAAGTTTGTGAATGATACTGTAAAGAGTGGAGTCGACTTTACGAGGAGGCATTGCAAGTATCCGGCGAGGAACACGTTTGTTGGGGGAGATTATAAGAAGCCTGAGAGCTGGGAATGCAGAGCATAGGGTGAGAAACTGAATTCAACTATTTTTTCGAGTAAGGGATGTCAAGATAATGTACTGTTCCCCATTCTAAAGTTTCCTGATCTTGCGATCACCTCCAGCAAGGAAAAGTCTGAACCGGTTTGCAGCATACATTGAGATGAAAACACGCAAAGTAGACGATTTGACGTCGATGTAGACTCCAGGGTGTTTAATTGTTCCCCCTTGAATGGGGTGCGATGCTGCTGAATGGTAGCTGTAGAGTGTGTGGACCGAAGTGCTGTACAAGTTCGAGTTCAGCGTGCGCGTGGCGGAGATGCGAAATGGAGGTGCGATGCGTCGAGAAGGCCCGGGGCGATGTACCTCGGTAATTCATCGAATCATACGATACCTTGACCCCTGCAGCAGCTTGCGACGGAAGCTGCCGGTCGTGATGTCAGTTCCCTTCCAATAGCTCTGTGGTTGAATGTTTGTAACTGCGATACTGTAACAGTCCTCATTCGTGACGCTACCTAGGTATAGATCGATCCGGCCTAGTGGTTCCCGTCCAGGCACGAAACCTGCGTGGTTGGATCGGCGCCATGACGTAGATGGGTCATGAGGGGCCCGTACTTCACCACCTGCAACCTCGCGAAAACGACGTTCTCTAAGATCGTACACAAAACACTGAAGGTACAAATTAGAGTGTCTCTGATGAGCCGAACGTGGGATGACGAGCTTTGTCCAGGTGACACAGACTGCCACGCGACGATGACTACTGGTAAGGGCAGCTGCCAAGTTCTCCGACTCTGATTGTTAGGTTGGTACTGCGCATATTGAACCAAATTCAGTGCTGTTCGGATGGGAAGTCTAGACCTTTAGGTCAGAGGTCTTTGTCTGTAACCTGCTTCCTTTCATGTTGTCTCGATTTCTTTGAACGAGTGAGCTCTGAGACACCATCATTCAGAGTCTGACCTTGGTTTCATTTACATCACTGGAACATCCCGCTTCGCAGTATCTTCATTCATTCAAAAACATCTGCCGAGGCAACGTAACTTCTTCCGTCTTTTGCTTACCACTCGACGAAGCACCTCCGCTCCACTTTCAATCATGCCGCCTAAAAGAGAGCGCGAAGAGACCCCAGACCTTCTTTCGAGAGGAGATTCATTGTCGCCGGATGCGAAGCGCACGAAGACTGAAGTCTACCGGCTCGATTTTGGCATGCACATAGGGTGCACTCTTGATGAACTCAGTCCCAGCGAGTTAGCCAAGATAGCGGGCGAAGATGAACGGGTCGATGCAGATCCTGCTCTGCGCAGTGCTCTCATCGATTGGGCAAACAACACTTATAAGATTGATGCAGATGGCGGCTACTACCACGGATGCAGCCTCACCGAGACCCCCATCTCTTGGATCAACTCATTTATCTACGCTACAGGTATACATGAAGATACATGTACTCGCATAGCACTCAAGTATCATTTCATCGACAGGAAGCCAGAAATGCCTGGTTCAAAGTGGGAGTTCACTTACGGGCAATATGATGGGTTGAACTTCACGGAGATTGTGGAGCGAGAAAAGGTCGAAGAGATTGAAACGGGTCGCAAAAAGCGCCTACCATACGATGAATGGACCAAGGGCCAAGGAATAGGAACCAAGCAAACCCCCAAAGACTTCGATTCCAGAAATCCCTACAAGGAAGACGGTACAAGAATTTACGACAACCGCGGCAAAGACGATGTAGCCGACGCGCTTGTGTACAATGAGCGAATGAAGTTGAGGAAGCTTCTTCAAAAGTATCCCAATGCTCCTAACTATCGCATGCCATGGTATCAGAACTACTGCAGAGACCAGCACATCAGAGACGTTGATCTCGACGAGATTCTTCGCCTCCATACACAGCTAGAGGACAAACGAACTTGGGGGAGAGAATACGATGAAGATCTCTGGGCTGCAGTGAGATGGCGCGTGCTCAAACATCATCTTGTTCGGTGGAATTGGAGAGGGCACTGTGAAAGGATCAATGGGAAGTGTGTCTGGATACCACAAGATCTAGGTCAATACTTGTACCCGTCTACTGAGATTGAAGTCTCAGACGAGCCCTATATACCCCAATTCTAGGTAGGCAGTCATAATGGGAACGAAACGGTCAAGTCATCTCAGATTGGACACGACATCAAAAGATGAGTATGGAATACGTTGCGCTACCACCTTATACGAGGGAAAAATTAAATAGGTCTGCAGACTACACTAACATGTGTACATGCAAATTAGGTGTGTTAACATCGATGTAGACCCTAGGGTGTTCAATTTTTCCCTAGGTCAACGTGCTACAAGCGGACGCGGGCGGTGTGTCGCCGCCGTATCACGTGCCTGACACCGGCGTTTGCAGCACGCTCATTGGTTGCCTAGGTGGTTAATGAATACACCAACTTGGTAAAGCTGAAAAGTTCACCGCGAACCTTTCAACTGTCGTCACAAGCCTTTGTTACCCGCCATCCTGCTTCGAAGAGAAGTAAGTCACCCCATGCAGGTCAGTTCATCGTACGCCTTGGCTAACTGCTTTAGCAATTTGACATCGCCAACGGAACCCGCCCGAGACTTTTGTCGCGATGGATCTTCCGTCGACAGAGATCGAGGAGAAGCTGAGAGAAGCGGTCAGCGAGCTGTCCTCGGACATCATTCGACCTGGTTTCCGCTGCATGAACGACCTACCCGACGAGCTGCTACTTGAAGTAGCCAGATACCTTGAGGGCGACAACCCGACGCTTGGAAGTCTGAATCGGACGTCACGTCGCTTCAAAGCCATCGGTGATGAGCTCCTATATCGTACGATTAGCTTGCCCCGTACTCGAGAAAACAGCGTTATGTACCTCGTCCGCACCATCGTCGAAAGGCCGGAACTGAGAAGCAAGATCCGGAAACTGACATTTTCCGCGACGAACTGGTATGTCGAGAACGATGGCGAGACTCCGGTACTCTTACCCGCGATGGTCATAAATCGTCCAAGTACCTCGAACGCGCGTGCAGCTTCGTTGATACAAATTTCTCAGAACATCGATAGAATGTGCTTTCTCAAGGACGAGAACCCGTTCGAGAGTGCTGAAGAGCTGGCCTGGCGGTGTGGTGTATTGTGCGGCCAGCTGAGCGCACTAGCAGGAATGCTTCTTGCACTTTGCGACAGCCTTGATATGCTCCATATGGATATGTATCACAGGGAGGGTCTGAGTACTCCGGCTGTTAATGTCCAAAGCACGCTTTATGGTCTCCACAGCGAGCTGATGCAACGACCATCAAGCCGATGGTCGGGCTTCAAGCAATTCCACAACGTCAAGCGCCTGAGAGTCTCCGGTTTGAGCATCGACATACTGAAATTCCCGTTCATCTCTCTTCAAGTCCTCGAGATCGACCTCTGCTACGAGGCCTTCAATGAGGGCCTGTCAACTGCAGAGCACGTCTTCTTCGGCAACGAATCGGTACGGTGCCTCTCGTCCCGCTGTGCGAACCTCCACACACTCATCATACGAAGCGATTGGAATGAGCTAAACGACCAAGCCCATCTGAGTCACGGCTATCAGCTGCCACTTCTGCTACAAGACTTCGCTGGATCGATCATCACCCGTCTAGAGATACTGTTCGTGAGGAGCCCGACTGTTGTAAAGCGGTGGCTGGGTACTTTCGAGCATATTGGTCGTGCTCTGAGTGAGGACACAGACGTATCTGCAAGCTTGCAGTTCATCAAAATCGACTACGAGGAATCTGATCACTTCAACCCCAAGCAGTGTTTCGGTGATTGTACGGACCTGGACAGCTTCAGCTCGTTCCGCAATTTGTCAAAGATGGAAGTCTTGCAAGGCGTACTTGTCTACGAAGCTCGCAATACGTTCGGTAAACTCTACTACTTTCACGGCATTATACCTCCTCCGAATCTCGAGTCACTCACGGTAATATGTCCTACCAATGCCATTCTTACATGGCTCAACATGATAGTCGAGCGCAACACGGAGGTGCCAGCCCTGAGTAAGATCGTGCTTTTGTGCAGGTGTGGCTACGGTGCTGGACCTAAAGAGTTCGAAGGCGACGTCTCGACATACGTTTTCGCGCAGCTGAACGACCTTGGTATCGATGTGCGTGTGGTTGAAGAGACACCAGGAGCATTTGCGTTTCAAGCTCGGAAGGAAGGCTCAGTGTGGGAGGCGGACTGGGCCGAAGACGGATGGGTGGATGGGTTGTTCGGTCAGGATCAGGGTTGAAGAGATGGGTTTCGATGCTTTGGTATGCGGTACTTGTGTCGCATTGTGCACACCTGTTTTCCCTCTGGTTGTACATGGAGCAGATCGCGGCTCTGTTCTTGGAGCGCCTTGAATCTCACAATACCTTTACGAGCTCGATCGTCGCTCCCTCGCTCGGCACTGTAGGTGTCAAGTAGATTTTACTGAGGCGTGCGGCCAGCAGATTCGCAAGTATAGTGCTCATTCGTTGGGTAATCACTGGTATTTATAGTAGTCTAGATGTATCGTAACCCCACAACGTCTTATTGCGACTACCTGCCCACCTTCTTCAACGTCAGTCGTCCTCAAAAGCAACATAGATAAACCCCCGGTCACTACTTCGATACTTGCTGCAACAGCCTGAATAAGTCGTGTTGACAATTGTATAATTCATTAAAATGAGTATATAAGAGCAAGTGGGTATCGTGAAGAAATCGTCCAAGTCTAGTGTAGCCCTCTACCAGTATCAAAAAGGTCGTAAAACAAAAAGGAATGCAGCATATCCTCGACAGTACGAGGAAGGTCGAACTTAGCCTCGCGGCTCGGAACCCGAGGGTTGTATAGTCTATTCGCATCAATGGTCGTCAAGTAATGGACTTTTGCCATCATCACATCTGCATCATGCGCATGTGTTCAACACATCGCCCCGCTGTCCCTCCCGTGCAGCACCTTTGCATTCCTCTCGCTCAGAGTATCCGGCTCGACGCTGATCCGAATATCCGTCTTCTTCATCACATTCCCCATCGGTAGCGTTGTTATACCATCCTCGTTCATACGGAGATGTGCGGAGTGGCCAAATCGAGAATCCCGTGTAAGATCTCCTGTGTCGTCCTTCAAGGCCGCACTTCCAGATATATCGTGCGATTCGGCATGCGCATCGAAGCCCCTCGTTGCGAATGCGATAAGTTGATTGAGGACCTCGAATTCGAGCTTGAGCTTGATGGCGTATGCGAGTGTCTTCCAGCTGGTTTGGATTTCGTACAGGCCTATGTACTGTAGGACCAGGATCGTGACGTCGAGCAAGATGACCACCGTGTTGACGACGATAAGATGGTTGAAGACCCGCTTCGCCTGTGGGCCTCGGAAGGCGGCCGAGCTGCGCATGAGGGCGAAGGTGCGATAGATGTAGAGGCCGCTTATGAGGCACTCTTGGAAGACGAACCAGGTAACCTGGAAGATCTCCCATTTCTCGTAGATCTGTAGCCACCTCTTGGGATTCGGTGAATTCGAGCCAGCAAAGAGCGCAGTCGCCCCTCCTTGCACGATTATGCAGGCTGCTATAATCATGCAGAGCAACCACCAATCTCTCTTTCCAGAACTGATGAGGTGTAGTCGTGACCAGAGTACAATGGATTGGCCAGTGATCATCAGCATACCCCCGCCACACGCCAAGGCGATCTCTAGCGGGGCCGAGGCGGATATCCCATAGTTGCGGATAAAGTACCCAAAGGCGTGTATGGCGATACCGACCGAGGCTGCGATGAGCGTGTAAAAGTACACGCCGCGATATGCGCGAAAGAGGCGGAATATCTTGACGAAGACCTCGAGGGTATGGGAGACGGCGAGGGCGAGGAAGACGATAACGACAAGCGAGGTCTTGTAAGGTTGCGTAGGGTTCGTGGTCATTCCTTCCACTTGATCGGATATTTCGAAAGCCATTGTCGGTGTTGGCTGCGATATTGTCCAGCGCCGGTCGCGAGCAGGGAATGGCGCGCAGTCTCCTCTTCAAGAGACGTAAGATCACTCTTCTTAGAGCTGACACGCACCACAAGTAGTCTGCCTCATTTTACAGTCAACCAGCCGCCAAGAAACTCTGCACCTCTCAATTCACTACCCTGCATCCCGGTTCCTGGTTAGGCAACGATCCTCACTGGTCGCAAACGCGATCTACGTCAACCCGACAGGGCACAGACATCCAGAACATGTCCTCGTGACCTAAATGAGGAGACTAAAACGCAGCCTTGTTTCCGAAACGTGGTAGGGAACGTGGCGGGCTGCAAGAAATGTCGGGGCTAGCTCCGCGGGGGAGATGTCACCCTGTTGAAGGAAATGAGACACAGGCCTAAAACTGCGTATATCCTTGCTGTCGTCGAGCAACGGTAATGTTATGCCGCTCGCGTCAGGTGAACGTTGCTTGACATCGCGCATCAATCGGATGTTGTTCTTGTTAAGGTTGAATGAGCCTGGAGACACAGACCTCGAATGCGTTCTCCGGCAACGGGTTTCTATGATGTTGTTCGCGTCGCGCTAGGTCACAGGCCTGGCGAGCAGCGCTCTGATCAGGTCGGGCGGGTTGACAATGCGACTATGAGCCCAGTTTTACCGCATGATGCAGAATTCCGAGTCAAAATACGCTCGCACGACGTGAAAGGAAAGATTGGTGGTGAAGGAGTGCCGCTCGGCAGGTGGGCGGAAAGTGGCCGCCGCGTTTGCGTGAGAGTTGGGAAGTCGAGCTAGGGACGTCATCGAAAGCACGTGCGCACGCGTTTCCGGTCGGGCGAGATCACATACTGGGCCCCGCTTAAACACCACTGCGCACCTCATCTCCTCCATCCTTAATTGTCATCAAGCGCACTTTTTCGAGAACTTTCGTTACCCGTACCATCAGCCATGCATCGAGATACGGCTTTCGATCGATTCCATACGAAGACTTCCGATCTTCGCGCGTATTATACATCCCTGAGAATGGCCAGTTGTTTGCTGGGCACAAAGACCGACGAGTTTCATCCGGCTCATTCATGAGACAGCTCATGAGGTCTGTTCAAGAATGCTCCACGCGTGTGGCCAGAACAGAAGACCGTGCCGCTGTGTTAATCGCATTTGCGAGCGAAGCTGAGTATCTCCGGCTGCGATGGCTGTCGCGCATCGTAGCCGTGGTACCTTCCACTAACCCCAATTTCGCCCACACAGGCATCATATCCATGCCGAGTAATGCAGTATACAACAGTGAATGATTGAGTGCTGACTTTCGTCTCCGTGGCAATGAGTCTGCTATGGAAATGAAACCGCCCAGCGCCATCGAGGACCAGATCGTTGGTCTCTACATCATCATTCACCATCAGAACCTAGACTCCCTTATGCGCATGAGAATCTGGGTTGATTCACCTCGCTTTACCTGCTGATCTCTCTGCCAGAGTACTAAATTTCATTCACTCACATCCGATAGTTTAACACTCTTTCCAGGCACGAGTCACTGGCAGCGATAGGACTCTGTTGTAGGTTTACAAGTCTTCTAGACGATCATTTAATCCTTCTCGCTTGCCCCCCCACCGCATCGAAACCTCTTGCAACTTAAGCAACATCAAGCCTTCGACATCCGATTTGACAAGAGCTCACTCGACACAAGCCACCGCGATGTCTACTACTTCAGAACACACTAGGGGCAGCCGCCCGACGAAGAGCAAGAAATTCCGTCGCCGCAACGGTCCCAACACAAGAACCTATGTCAATACCCTCTCGCCTGCCGGCCAAGTCAACAAAGTCTTGACAGACATGTCAAACCTAAATGGCGGCGACCACCTCCGCAACTGGTCAGCTTCCGCACGCAAGGAGCTAGCCCCTAACATCACCATCAAAGTGGAGGTCTTAGACCCCAACGGTAACAAAGTGAACGTCAACATGCCCAAGCTAGCCTTCTTCGCTGCTTCATCGGCTTTCCGCCAACACTTAGAGGCTAACCCAGATGATACCTGGGTCAAATTCTGCCACAAGGACGTCTCTCTCGATTCCATGCGGACGATCGCGAGGTGGCTGCGGACGGTCTGTACTGATCAGCAGTACACTGATATCCCCATGCCCAACGAGGTCAAGAAGAGTCTAGAGTTGCGTCTTGCTGCGCAGGTTCTGGGGATGACGCAATACACGTCTCAGATTATCAAGGGTTACATATGCAGCCTCATCTACCGTCCCGTAGAGGCAGAAGAATTGGTCCTGGTGGCTGAGCTAACGCGCAAGGAAACGGTAGAAGATCCTATCGTGGACGCTTTGGCCAACTACGTCGCTTATCTGTGTCGGTACCATCTGGTCAGCAGGGAGATAGAAGACCAATATCTGGCTGTTCTTGCCGGAGGCAAATGTGCGAAGCTATTGGATGCCGTGAAAGACCACAAGGTTCGGGCTATCGCGCAGAACGGATGGAAGGCTATATGCCCTCGGCCACTGGCGGAGCTTCAGACCCAGAATTAGTTTCATCGTAGTAGTCTTAGCTTAATTTGGTTAAGCTTCTGTTTTCGTTACCACTGACGGTACATTCATAACCAAGACATGCCAACCAGCGTGGTAACGCCAGGCGAGAACAAGTGTGAGCAATGAACAGTGTTTCGTAAGGTTGAACAAGCACCCATATTTTCAAAGTGTACCGCGTTGCCGCATTCAAGATAGTGATTCGATTAGAGTACTTTGATACTGACGTATTTAGACCTTGTTCAGCCAAATGAGTTTACTCTGGTAGTCGCCCATTGGCCACGCGATGTTAAGCCCGCCGTTCATGTACGTAGCCCCGCTATAGGTGGCATTGTCCAGGTCATTGCTATATCTCGCCTTAGGATCCAAGCCCTGTAGTCTGAGCGGAGGTGCTGCCGGCTTGATCATGTACTGTTGCTGGAACGCAAAGACTATGCTCTGGTTTCCATCGGCACTGACGAATTGCACACCAGGCCAGTTGCTGCTATCGGGATGCGCAAGGCGGTAGAAATCGCCCGAGATGACGACGGGGTTCACAGCCTTGGCTTGGGCCATGATGGAAGGCACAGCAGAAGCTTCCTCTGGGGAGAGTTCGGAGGGGTTAAGTTCGAGCCCGAAGGAGCCGCACATCATGGCAACATGACCTCGGTATTCGATGCTGATGTTGCGATGGGTGAGGCCGTTGGGAATTGCAGATATGTGGCAACCCATTGCGGAGGGCGGGTAGACCAGAGATGTGCCCATTTGGATCGTGAGACGGTTTGAAGCATCGGTGTTATCACTGGTCCAGTGCTGGGGCC